TATATTTCAGCAGTACTAAGCCATGTTTTTCCTTCCCTGGTCCCACAGAAAAATGAAAGTGAATTATGTACTGCACATGAAAATGAATGTTTATTTCTCTATTATAGATAAAGTTGAAGCACAAGTACCATCCAAACAAAGGTGGCCAAACAGGGGCCGGAAAAATGCGAGATACATAAAATATATCGAAATCACAACTTATTTTGTTCCTTTGTTTTCCTTGGTTGTGACTACAGCGACAGCATAGATGCTTCCTGGTACGAACAATGCCACAGTCAGGCAAATACTGAGCCAGAATTCCCTCTACAATATAAAAAAAAAGAAAGAAGGGTTTAGCTAGCTCCAGCAAATAGTCATTTTCTTTTTCAATCTTGAAGGGTAGTGATCACATACAAAAGAAAGAAAGGAAGGAAGCAAATGTATATTGTGAAAAAAGATGTAGTTACATATATATATAGCAAAGTCAAATTGAAGGGGACAGTGACAAACCTTAGGTCCTCTTTTTCTCAAAACTCCAATAGGAGGCAAGGCCAACGCTAAGATTAAGTCAGTGCACTCTGCATCTCCCACCTTGCAATTACATTTAGCTTTGCAGCAATCGCATGTTAGACATATGCACATGGTTATTAGAGAAAAGAGAGATTAATGGGTCAGGTCGAGGATGAGCAGCAATAATTCTTAAAGGGATGGCACTGAGTTCTTATACACTGGAAAGCGAGGCTTCAGGTAGATTAGCAGCCGCCAAATGCTACGTAGTTTGGGTGATGAATGAAACCAAACGTTTTATGACGTAAACAAGGAATCAATATCGAAAAAATATTCTTCATATATAGTAGGTTTGGTGGTCACCAGCTCATTTTGTATAAAACTTTTATCTTGCAAAGAATCGGTTCGATAATAATACACTATAGAAACAATATACTATAAATGAAGCAATTCGAAGTGTCGGTTCAATCGTTTTGGGCATCTATTCCTCCATGTTTGTCGTGTTTCTGATCCATACAACTGTTTTGCCTTTGTAGCTTCTCTTAATAACAGTGGGAAAGTTTTAATTTTTAAAAATAATTAAGTGTAAATTAAATGAGCAAGCTGATCAAACATATATAATAATCAATTTAAAGCACACCAAGTATTAATAATCCATCTTATATTTCATAAAAAAAAATAGAAATAGTTCAAATGTGTGTGAAATTTATAATTCGATACTAATGTTTATAGATATATACAAATTCATATTTTTGTTACAAAATAATTGTTAGGGAAAAAAATTAAAAAGCTTTTACAATCAAAATATTACTTTTTCTCTTTCACTTCCAAAGCATAGTGAAAATGGAGGTCAAATAAAACTTAGTATGAATCGATAAGAAAGTTTATTTGAAGTAGTTCACATGGTTTTTATGGCACAATATTATCCAAATTCATCTTAAAAACTAAATTAACGATCCACATTTTTTCTTAACCCTCTCGAGTGATAATAGAGATAAATCACCTTAATTAATCTTTCAGTTGGGTCATTGTCTGTTATTGCTTCTCATAGTATAGCAAAAGGGGAAAGACGCCTGATCTGCTTTTGAGTCCAAATGGGCTAATAAATAAGAATAGATATTAGAAGATTGAAATTCTATTCAAATTAAAATTATAATGTTCATTTGAATCCACTCGGATTTTGTTGCATTCAATTTAGATATTACATTAAATATGTACATTTCGTTAAATTTGATGATTCTAAAAAGTAAAATTCATTCTAATAGAATTCAATTAAAAATGGTATTAAAATTTGAAGAACGAAATTAATGAAATTCCATTTGGATTTATGCTCATTGATCTTCTTTCTGAGTAGTTGTTTTGAAAAGCATATTAGCTTCTTTTTGAGCCGATGCTAAACTCATCATCACATTGACGTATGCATGGTGATTTCAATGGGTGAAAATTGAAAAAAAAAAAAAAAAAGAACTGAATGAAGACTAAGACCTGAAGAACTAATTAACTAGTTTTTCCTAATTAATTACCGGCTCTTAATTATATAAAAAAAATTACTATTATATAGAACCAAAGAATTGGCTTGATAATGAGAGTTATAAAATTATTAATTATGTTCTATTCCAATTATCTTTTCATTAACAATTTACATATCAAGGGAAGAAATTAGGTTTTTTTTCATTTTTCTCTCTTGAAAGGAGAAGGTAAATATGTTGGGATTTGCCTTGAATCTCAGAATCCCACATCAAAAGTTAAGTAAGTTTGAGTTTGTCTTGTATCCCACATCGAGAGTTTAGTAAAGGTATAAAGGGTTTCACCCTTATAAATAAGATGTTTTGGTTTTAGTTTAATAACCCCATAGAGTTAGACACCAAGAGAATAGCTAAGTGAGTAGGCTATTAAAGGGTGTAATTGGGTTTTGGGTTAAGTTTTGAGTAAGTAGTTTTAGGAGACTTTTCTCATTCTAAAAGTCTCACAATTGTAAAGATTTATTTGATAGTGGATTAAGTTGGAGTAGGCCATTTTGAGTTGGGCCGAACCAAATATATTTGTGTGTTCTTATTCTTGATTTGAGCTTGTTATTTTGTGTGTGGTTGCTGCGCGTAGGTATTGTTGTTTTTCCCAACAAGTGGTATCAGAGCAAGGTTCGAGGTTCGTGGGTCCAAGAGATCGTGAAGCAGTGTTTGAAGATGTTTGAAGAAGGTATGTCTGGTATGTCTATGCCTAAGTTTGAGATTCCATTATTTGATGGAAAGAGTAATTTTATGTTATGGCAAAGTACGATTCAAGATCTGTTAGTACAACAAGGGTTGGATCAGGCATTAGAGAGTAGTAAGCCTGAGGGAATGTCTGATGCTAATTGGAATAGGATTCAGAAGAAGGCTGTTAGTACTATTAGATTGGCGCTAGCTCCAGAGGTAAAATACAGTGTGTTGACTGAGAGTACTCCAAAGAGTTTGTGGGATAAGCTTGAAGGTATTTATGCTTCGAAGTCATTGACTAATAGATTATGTTTGAAGATGGATCTGTATTCTCTGAAGATGGATCTGTATTCTCTAAAGATGGAAGAAGGTATGAGTCTTCATAATCACTTGAATGAGTTTAATAGATTGGTTTCTCAATTGTTAGCGATTTCTGTTGATGAGTTAAAAGATGAAGAGAAGGCTTTAATTTTACTGTCATCTTTGCCCAAGTCTTATAGGCCTTTAGTTCAGACTGTGTTGGTAGGCAGGTCTACTTTGAAGTTGGATGATGTGACTGCTTTATTGCGTGAGAATGAAAGGTTTATGGGAGCTCAGAACTCATCACCTGTGGGGAGTACACTAGCTGTAGAGGGTTTTGATCGAGGGAGGACTCAAAAGAGGATTGATGGATCAAGATGGAGATCTAAGTCAAGAGACAGAGATTACAGTGATGTTGAATGTTATTATTGTGGTGAGAAGGGACATATCCAAGTACGCTGCAGGAAGCTGAGAAGGGATATGGCTGCTTTCAAAAGGGCGAATGATGAGAAGAAATCAGATGAAGAAAAGAGTGATACTGCTGCTGTCGTGTCTGATGATGATGATGTTGTTTTGACAACTTGTGTGGATGAGACTCAGACTTTGAAAAGTGATAAAGGTTGGGTTTTAGATTCAGCTGCTACAGTTCATGTTTGCAATGATAGGAGCTGCTTTGTGGAGTTGAATGAGAGTGAAAAGTATGGGGATATTGTGGTTGCTAACAAAGAAAAGGTGCAAATTCAAGGCATTGGGAGTGTTTGCCTTAGATCTCACAATGGTGTTATTAGGACACTTCGTCATGTAAGGTATGTACCAAATTGTCACTACAATTTGATTGCTTTGGGTGAGTTAGCTTCGCGGGGGTACACATTTTATGGTAGTAATGATTGGTTGAAAGTGTATAAGAATGATAGTGTGATCCTACAAGGGAATAGGGTCAATCACTTGTACATGTTTGATGGAGGCTCAGTTGCTGGAATGCCTGTGATGAAAGAAAAGAAGAAAGGTAAGCATGTTAGCTTTGCAGATACTGTTGAAGTGTTTGGAGATTCAAGTCAAGGGAGGATTTGTTGGGATTTGCCTTGAATCTCAGAATCCCACATCAAAAGTTAAGTAAGTTTGAGTTTGTCTTGTATCCCACATCGAGAGTTTAGTAAAGGTATAAAGGGTTTCACCCTTATAAATAAGATGTTTTGGTTTTAGTTTAATAACCCCATAGAGTTAGACACCAAGAGAATAGCTAAGTGAGTAGGCTATTAAAGGGTGTAATTGGGTTTTGGGTTAAGTTTTGAGTAAGTAGTTTTAGGAGACTTTTCTCATTCTAAAAGTCTCACAATTGTAAAGATTTATTTGATAGTGGATTAAGGGATGAGATTACCAATAATTTAGGCTAAATGATATACATAAGGGTGAGCATTGGCTTAGAACGATTTTTTTTGAAACAAAATGTCGGTTAATAATTTGCGATTATTTGTTGGTAAACCAATTTAAGAAAAAATGAATTATTTGTTTTTGATTGTTAATTAAAAAATGATTTTTGATTTTCAGTTATTAATTCAAAATTGATAATTGAATAGACATAATTAATCGGTCTTATTAATTTATTTTTAAATACATTATATATAATATAAATACAATATTGTTTATATAATATTTTAAAATTATATATAATATATTATTTATTTTATATAATAAATAGTATATAATATAAAAATAAAATAATTTTTATATAATAATATAAATAATTTGTTTTTTTAAATAATTAAAATCAATTTAATCAATTGGCCTAAGTTGATTTCGGTTGAATAAAAAATAATGATTTTAATTCAATTTGTTTGATGGATTATTTCGAATGAAAACGGTTAATTTGATTTTTAGATTTTTAAAATTAAATCAACGGAATATTTAATCAAGAGTATGTAAATAAACAAAAAATGTCAAACAAACAACAATATTTATTTGGGTTTGAGATCACATTCAAGACACACAACACTAGGATTCATTCAACCAAACTTATATTTGAGGGGGCTAAAACACACTACGGATAACATGCAAAAGTAAAATAAAATTTCTTCACTTGCTTTCACTTCATTGTATCAAGAAGCACGAACGAGATGCCATTAACAGATACGAATGAAGGACTTTGATATGACAATTCTTAAAGTAATTATACATATTTTGTTGACAATTGAAATGACTAGTGATAAATTACAAGTACGATTATGCTGTTCAGTTTGTTGATATGGAAATGGCAGCATGGATGCTTCCTGGCGCATATCCTAATGCCGTCAGAGCTACATTTACCCAGAAATTGGCCTGTAATTATCTCAAAAAAAAAAAAACAAAGAGAGTCAGCTCTTAATTTCTATTCATTTTCTGTCAACTTGTTATTGCTTCAGTTAAATTATATGTTACCCGGTTCTGAATTCATACCCTGTTGGATATAAATATCTTGTAAAATTTTAAATTGAAGTGATTGATTAATTTGGTTTGTACATAAATTTAAGTTTGAAAGAAATAGAACAGAATCAAGGGAGAGACTGACCGTGCACCCCCCTTCCTTTTTATATACCCCAACTGGGGGCACCAAGATTGCCAGGATCAAATCAAGACAGTCTGGTTCCTTCTTCTCTTGCCCGCTTGAATCTTCGCAGCTAAAGCATTTGCATTTGATGCAGAGACACATGTTAATATGTGGTTGAAGATCGTTATCAAAGAGCTGCAGTTGTTTGTTAGGAAGAGGACTCTACTGCTTGCTTTTATAGAATTCAAGATGCTATGAAAAAAGTTACATTTCAGCCAAAAAAGAAAAGAGATAATCAATTTAGTGAATGATTGCTCTTCACGACATTGTTGTATCACATGAATGGAATAAGTTCAATAGGTGACATCGGCAAGCTGTTTTCATGGTGCTGATTTCATATATTAGCATATTACCAGTACCACCATATAAATGAAAGAATTTTTATCTTCACTAGTTAGTGGTCAATCTCTTTAATCACCTTCTGCTTTTATGAGATGCCTGATTCTGTACTTTAGGCTTGGGTGGCATCGATCAAACTGTTGGATTGTGATTTATATCCCCAATTAAGGGAATACATACATGCCTTGTAGAAAATCAGGAGCACTTGAAAACAGATGACATTGCAAAACTCTTCCTCTGGTTCTAGACATGTCAATTGGTGAGAAAGAAAGAAAAAGAGAGGAATAAAGTTGACATAGAACTTCCGGTTCCAAATCAAATTAAATATACTTTTGTTAAGGGATTGTGAAAGTCTGTAGAAAGGAATTTGATCCTGTCTCCTTTCTCCCTCTGTGGGAAGTTAGCTAGATTTTGAAACTGTTTCGTTAAACAAAATGCACATTAGGAGTGATTGGGTTGGTCAAAAGTAATCCAAGTTTGGCCCATGAAATGGTTGGGATTACAAAACAGAACACAGCCATTCCTCTCGACTGACAACATAATCAGACTTATTATGTGTGGAAGATGGAAGAAAGGAAGAGTGGAAACCAACCAAAAATAGTTCAGTTCCTTACTTGATTTGTTGGTCCCATTGCAATCTCAATAGGTCCAAATCTGGCCCAACAGTATTGTCCTACACTAGGATACTATTCCTCCTAAATGGGTTCCTTCTTGGGCTAGAAACTACTGAAAGTCCTGACTCCTGATCATTTTTTTGTTTTTTCTTCTTCTTGTGTTTCTACGAAACTAAAGGGAAAAATCAGTATAATTTTACCTATCTTACATTAAATCCAAAACCATCGCCTTGAACTGCTAACTCCTAAATCTGAATTACAATTTCCTCAGACGTTTCATTTTATAAATACTACTGCATCTTAATTTGGTTCAAATGGATGAACCCGATTCATTCAGAGGGACAGTGCATTAAATCCCCCCTATTAAGAGTACACAGATTGAAACTCTTCAACGGGCGTCCTTTTCACCATAAATAGAATTTATGATAGCAGCGCTTAAGCAAAAAAGCATCACAACCATCCAAAAAACATTTACAGCCCAAAGACAAAACTGATGCTTGTTACTTTTATCAGTTTAGTATGCTAATGTACATTCGAAATCCTAAACATATCCGATCCTATATTTTCTGCCTAGCTATCGATTTTCACACCACAAGAAACAGCAAGAGAAAAGAAAAAAACAGAAAGGTTTTGTATGAAAATTCAGCACTTGGTGATCTTCAATCTCCTCACAGCTGACAAGAACATCCTACACGTGCATAAGAATAACAGATTCAGCTCTTGTGCTTAAGGGATCATCATATATTCCTATATAAGAATAATTGAATTTGACAAAATGGGAATGTTGTTTTTAATGGAGAAATCGGTTTACTTACTCCCAAGGAACATCACCAACCATCATCCAATCCCCTTCCTTGTCTTCATATGTTAGCACATGGTATTTCTCATAATGATCTCCATCCACCTCAGCCTCAGCCCCTGCATATCAAAAACATCGCTCTTCATTGTCAAACTTTCTGTTTAGAAAAAGATCGGAAGAGACAAAGATGAAACTTAACAGATAATGTTTGTGTTGAACATGTATTCAAGAGTCCTTATCAGCTCATAGTAACTCTCATGAGCCAACAGGTCTAGTTTTCTGCCAATAGGAATCCCATCCATGTACACCTTAACGAAGAAAGTTGCACTATTGCACTCATTTTCTTCTTCTGCAGCAAGCGCCTGGCTTAGCTGCGGCTTGATTGGTGGCCAATCCGATGGTTGCTCCCTGATATACATGTAATAATTTACCCATTAATCCATAACAGGTACTATTGAGAGATAGTAAAAGAAAGAAAGGATTGCGACTAAATAAAACACCTTGCATATGGAAAGGTTGAAATGCTAAGACCAAGCCGAAGATCAGTGCTAAGGTCCCTCTGCGAGGAAGAAGAAGCACCGGTGGTTGAGAAAGCAAAGTGGTTGCTGCTCTCGATAGAAGATGAAGAAGAACTGGTTGCCCTGCCCATTTTCTAAGATGTGATGACTGAATTGAGTGAAGACAAATGAGCCGCCACCTTGGGTTTAAATAACCAGAAGAGTAGGAAGTATTTGTTTAATGGAAAATTTAATACTGATACTAAATTTTTATGTTGGGAGAATATAAGGAGGCAACTCTTTCATATTACTGGCTGTTGTTGGGCTGTTATGTTGTCAGGGCAGCCGACATGTACACGTGTCGTCTACCAACCCAACTTATATTAATCATCGTTTAAACATTTTTTTGGACTTTGATTCAAGGAAGCTGATCTGCAGTTCTATGTTTTCTACATGTTTGCTTCTCTTCTCTTCAAGGATTCACGGGTAATTTGTAGCAGTTATTTGCGGCATCCCTCGTTGAAAAAGTGTGTGTACTGCATTTAAATTGAGAGTTCTTTAATTGATGATTATGTCTCTCTTTTACAGAAAAAAAGAAATTCAAATAATTTACACAGCTAATATGACCATCCATTTACAAACTATTTAACCTGTATTGGGAATTCAACGTTAATTAAAACTAGCAGAAGAAACAAGTCATGAGCATTCAAACGGGGTAAAACGCTTTTGAGTCATCATCATCAAGCTTGCCTTATTAGGTAAAGCCAATGGTTTTGTTGAATTGATAAAAATCGAATGCTTCATTTGAAAGTTTTAAGTGTTATTTCTGTTGTTAAAAAAATTTTTAATAAATAATTTGTAAATTCAATATAAATTTTCGTTGAAGCCTATGATAAATTATATTCTTAAAACGGAATAATCTTTGTTCACTTAAAATTTTCAATAAAAAAAAGAGCTATAAGTAATTAGTTAAAACTATGATTAAGGAATCAATCTAATTTTAAAAAAATAAAATAACCTATCGTTTATAAATTTTCATTTTTGACTAAACGTAGGCAGTCTCTGCACTGAATATAAATCTACTGATCGTAATACAATATTAAAAAACAAAACTATTTTGCTGATGGAATTCAACAATAGTTGTTGGAAATTAACAACACGGTAGATAAACATATAGTAGAGGCAATGAATGTAGACAAGCGATGGGCATTCAAACAGGGATACAAAAGCATCGAACTTGGAAACGTTTTGTCATAGGAACAACACACGTAAGCTTTAAAATAATGTACCCGGATCAATGTTGAACTGATAGAATTATCGTGCTGCGTAACAGTATTAATTGAGGGAGGGTATTATCGGTAACGGTGAATTCAGCTTATATATATTATTTTTGCTTTGCAAAGTGATATGTTTTAATAAGATTTTTAAAACAGTTAATATGTAAGCAACATAATACCAAACCATGAGAGGGGACGGGGGGGGGGGGTTTGCGAAACTCAACATGCAAAGAAAGACATCAAACGTTTGGATGTCCGTGACGTAGGAATTAATGGGTCCCCTAGTGCTTCACGCAGGATTTTTTTTTTTTTTTAAATCGGTTCATTGTATTCATCTTTGCCATTTTCTTGCATGATTTTCATTATTCACGCTATACTTGGTTATACAGAAATTTCGAGTTGCGAACATTTCTATACAAGAAGGTTGTGAAAAATTAAATTTTAATTATCAAAATAAAAGAATTAACATTATCAACAAAATGCACAATTATTGATAAAAGTTTTTTTTTTCTTTTTTGATTTTCTCTATAGTGGAAAGCTTTAAAAATTATTTTCATTATTGAATAAATAAATGCATTAAAAAATAAATAGCTATTAGTATACAATAGAAACGAAAAGGTGTTTACGACCTTCCTATTCTATTGTACTCGCTGATGACTTCTCCTTAAAGAGAGAACCTAAAGATCCCATCATGAAGATATGCAATCAACTCAATCTGCAAGCACAAGAAAAAGAAATCGGAAAAAAAAGGAAGAAAAGACACAAATGGCAAATTTGTTTTATTTTATTTTATTTTTACATTCAATCAATCAAAATCTTTCCCCACGTGTAGAATCCACGTGTGGAAGGTAACTCTTGTCTCACCTTAAAAATCAAACTTGATTATTGTTTATCTCCCACGTCAATTAACACAAGAAAGAGGGAACAAGAAATCTTTGCTTACACCAAAAGAAACGCCAATTTAGCGATAGAGAAGGCAAAGAAACTAATGAGGAGAGAAGCGAACAAGGAAAACAAACGAGGAGAAAAAGCAAAAGCTGTTGTTCCCCACCAGCCCTACCGAAATGTTGCTTCAAATGGCCATCATGGGCATGGCAAACCTTTTTACTGCTCCAAAGACTTTTTGGTCTCTCAAAAACCACTATTAACGTTGAACCTAAAGCCTTTTAACAAAAGAAAGACGCCCACACACGCTTTTTCCAGAACCCTCAATTCTTCAATTCTTTTGTCAAATTTTCTTATATCTCCCTTCCATGAAAATCTCCATCATCGTGTCTACTCCCCTATGGGTTGTTTTACAGTTGTTTTTGTCAGTCAAACTTAGGATTGCTTTTTATTTCCCTAACCAGAAATGTTTCAAGGACAGGGCCCGGGGAGGGGACTGGAAGCATGCCCGATCCTATTTTCGAGCTTGCTTTATCAACTTTTTCTTTCCTGGCTTTGCCCTATAATTTTCTTCAATGACTTTTGCTTTCTATTTTCTAGTTAATCTTTTCGGTTTAACATGTCAATAAACCTAGGTGCCTTTGGTTAAGGACAAGAAAAATAACAAATCAGCCGCCTACGCAGTACTAGGCCAAACATTATGCTCCCCTACTGTCCAAGGCGGATCAAGTCTTTTGTCTACAGCCTTTTTTTTTCCCTTGGGTTTTTTTGGCAGTTACTAGAACATGTCTTTTACACATTTTTAAGTAGATTCTATGCGTGCATGGGCTTGGAAAGATATAACTCTAAGACCCCAAATTGTGTGTTAAACGGTATTTTTTTTTCTTGGACCAAGCACATCAAACGCTGTCATTCATTTGCAATATTAAGCACTTTGACTGATTTCTATCAAAGAGTTTTTTTTAATTTGTAGTAAGGATTGATTTCTGATCATTAAAACTTAAATCAAGACTTTAGTATTTTACGACACAATCATGCATAATTGATGATTATTTGAACTTAATCTATGTAGTCCATCACAAAATATATGTGATAGAATCTTATCCAATAAATGGTTGTAAATTGTTATGTGATGCATAAAGAAAGTACAGCGCATTAGTTAAATATTTAATACGTAAAAAAAAATTACTGAAATGATTACTTTGGGTCCAGGACTCGTTGTTTAAATGAAAATAAAGGGAGAAGAAGAGACTTGCCTGAGAAATGAAAGACAAGGATCTGGCGGATAGGATGTTGTTCTTGGTAATAATTGTAGAATGACTCCTTATTCGCTACCAAAAGAATAAATACAACAATAAATTAAGGACTTGCCGTTGCTGTTAAAGAGACACTATTAGTAAATAGCATGTTAATGGCAAAAGCTGCTGGAGACGAAATAAATAGCAGAATCTGAAGTCTGGAGCAGCAGCAGCAACAGCAGAATTCTCGTATCAAGGTAACATAAATGAAATGGACGAAACCAACAGGAAGAGTTTGCTGCAAAAGAGAACAAGCAATTATGACCTATTGACCCGTCGACTTGAGTTTTCTTTCGTGATCCATCCTCAAACCTTATGTTTGAAGCCTCGAAATTTTTAGGAAAAACTTTCTTTGAATCCAATTGCCTGCCATCAATTAAATTCACAATTTCTATATGCTTTATGGTTTTGACACATTTCAACCATTCTCAGTCTAATAACTCCTCCCATCCAGGCCCAGCCTCCTTTCCCCCTCATCTTGGGCGCCCAACTGGACAGGAAATTTGAAAGCCTGACCAGTCCACAGCAATCAGCCCCAAGCCCTTCTGGAGGCAAGACGACCACAAGGCCGAAAACAAGTTGTCTAATACGAAAGCAACCTTGATAGACAGCATGTATGATCAACAATTACAACAAAGGTTACAGGAATATTAAATGTTTTAGTAAGATGCTCCAATTCTTGATGCATGTGTGCCACTAATGCTAATATCGATACTGATAATAGGATGAGAAAATTAAGAATGGTATGACTGCTATCAATAATGATATAGCGCATGATAGTAATTTACAAATATAAAATGCTAATCAAAACTCCTAAAGCAATCAAGCAACTTTATTATCAACAAAACCTACCTAAAATTTTAGCTAAAGGGATGCCATCCAACAATGCATGTCTACTTTTGCACCCTGCTAACTTAAATTTTAATATCAATTGTATGCATATTGTGACAGGAAGTCCTTCACTTCAGCTGCAACCTCGTAAGCACATTCCACACATCGTCCTAATGCCACACCAGCTACATAGTTGCCCCCAAGAAACAGTCCATGAAACCCAGAATCCCTAAGAGCAGTTTTTGCAGTATCAAGGAGATCCAAATGACCAACCAAGAATTGTGGAATGGCTTGTGGCCATACTCTCACACCCAATACAAGAGGATCCTCTGCATTGGAATTTATAAGCATTTTTCTCAAATCACGATCAACTGTTTCTACAAGTTCACCTTCAGTCTACAGGAAAAATGCAGTATCAGTAAGAATTCAAAATATAATCATATAAAGGGTCAAGGGGAAAAAGGCTTCAAAGAATATGTTTCTAGTCTCTAGATGAATCCACCTTATTATATATCTCAAAAGAAAATGAAGATAGAATTGAACAGAATCATGCAAGAATTTAGTTGGCTTATACAGACCAAAAACAAGCCAATTCATTTCAGCAATAAACTCATAATCATTGAAAACAGCATTTGTAGGTTCATGACAGCTCATAGTTGTGATAAAAGTTGAACCTGTCAATAGTCTTGACCATCCTATATCTAAAGCTTGTGGGCAGACTAGGTAACTAGTCTGTGATTACACAGGTTCTTAACATATTCTAGAGGGATTACAACAAATATCATTGTTATTCTGAATATAGAGCATTAGAATATCAAATTTCTGCCATAATGTGCTTCCGTATCCATAATCGCATTGTCCACAATGAAACATTCAAATTATATTTCTTAAAAGATGTCTACCTTGGACAAAATTCCAGGGTTCGTAGCTCCTCCAATGTAGTTCAAGAGCAAAACTCTGCCAGATGGAGCGCGATTGGGAAAAAGTGATGAACTGTATATAGTCCCTGCAATTTTTTGTTAATCAATAAAATTTCTCAAAGTTCCTTTTAGTGCAAACAACATTCAGAAGACTAGGATATGATGCTTTCAGAAAGAGCTGAGTTACCTAAAGTTTCAATTCCTTGGCTGCGTGGGTGCAATTGGCCAAACCCCTTGAGTTCACCATCAATCAAACATTCTTTTCGAATAGCTTCTTTTGGATATGAGATTGTGACCGATGCAACTGGAGGGTAATAAAATTGAGATAGTGCATCTGCAGCAGCAGCCTGCATAGAGAATGTAGAAATTGATAGAAAAAGACACTATAATAAAATTTTAAACTCAACTAAACTTAACTAAGTTAGTAAAGGATTAGAACATGGCTTCAATTAGTCTGTTAAATAACCATTTTCTTCAGACATTTTCCCTTGTTGATAAAAGTTCTTTTTAGGTATCAATATACATTATTAATATACCAGGAAAAGTCTTCGAGAGCCATAAACAACAAATCATGCATGGAAAATTTCTCAAGAAACTAGAGTAGCATTAAGTTGAATAACTTCAATTACTCAGTGTGCTAGCACACCACATAACAGACACCCAACTTTAGTAGTCCAAACCTGGCCAAAGGTGTGCTCTATCAAATTTAGGAGAAGATATACTTCACTCAGAATCCAAAATTTAAAAAACACACACATATGCACAAATGTGAGCAAAGAGATGCCGGCACACAAACCTACTTCCCTCTTGACCAAAAAATTTGATAATCTAGCATCCTAGACATAGCAACATAAAGAAGTGAACGTTCTATGCTAGATATTAAGAACATGTCATAAAAGGATGTCTAGCAAGGAGAAGGAAGAAATTGAAACATGCCGAGAGAGGATGCAACAGGTTACTGGCAACATGGGATGGAATGCTCATGACAACACTTCTACTTTGAAGAGAGACCATTCCTTCTGGTGTTTCATATGTCAATCTATACCCTCCATTACCCAATTTAGAAATGCTGGAGAGCTTCCACGACAATTTAACGTTGCTACCCAAACTGCCAAGTCAACACAACTAATTAGCATCCTAAAACCTGAAGATAAAAATAAAAGCATATTGACATTTAAGAACCACTACAGAGGGTAAATCATAGCTGAGATGGTGACTGGGCTACCTAGTAGCAATTGCCTCAGGCAGCATGGCAAGTCCCTTCCTAAAAGACCCAACTGTTTGGCCCTGGGGTTTTGGAAGATGCCTGCAAGATAACCATTCAGCATGATGACAATAAATATCATGAAAGAATCACATCAGAGGCCTCAATGTGTGCATAATTACGGATCTCTAGGTGGCTTAGGTGTTTTCTTTCTCCCCTGGATTGTCTTGAAAGTGCCACCAATGATGCTACCACCAATCTCTTCAAGCTTCCATACTCTTCCAAATGCTGCCTTCATGCTTAATTTTGATGGATCCCCAGCATAAACACCTGCAACAACAACACTTCGGGTATACAAATTATGAATTGGTTAAAACAGCAGAAACTAAATATTAGTTCTAAGGTTCGAAAACTTCTGAACAAGAGATGTAAGTTGGAAGGAAGTGGTTCATTATTATACTAGCATATAAATTGCGATATAACTTGTTGATTGAAAATGAAAGGCCTAAGACAAACAAAATATTGACTATTAAAAAACATCATTGCAGATAAGTGAACACATAATAAGAATGGAATTATCAGCAAAAGTAATGTAATTATATCAGGTAAAGGGAAACTTCAGGAAATGCTACTATTTCAACTTTTCAGACTATCATCACAGAAATAAAAACGATGCTAGGTAGTTAACATTTAGAAATAACAGCAACATTCACTATCCTTTATGCACAACTCAAGAAAACATACCCAATTCCCATGTGCAACCCAACAAGACCCCATGGAACTAAACCACAGAGATAGTTAGTTGATAACAATGTATTGGAATTAGAGAAATCTCCCAACTTTTTCACATGAAATACCCAGTAAAGTCAGTAGATTTTAAGGACAATTAACATGCCATGGTGACAAGGGAGTTTAGAAAGAACAAAATATATTTCTAAATAACTGACATTCATCACAGACAGTGATTAAATAACAAATGTTTGCACACACATGAAAGTGAAACACAAAAAAATATAGACAAAATATTATATTAATCATCACCTGAACAAAACGGTTCAATCAAGCGCTCAAAAACCTCATCACCAAGATTACGACGCACAAACTCCTCCACTGATTCTTCGTGACCCTGTCACCTTTGTCAAAATTCTTCTATATGAGAAACTTCAATCAACAAAAACTTAATGCAAGTACAATACACTTTTGATATATAACTAAACAAGACAAAAAAAAAAAAAAACTTAAATGAAAGTGAAAAGGACAAACTGGAGGAGGAGGGCGAACGCCAATAGCACCCAATCCGGCCCTAAGTTTTCCACCAATGCTCATCAAATCAAAAACCAGCAAGTCAGTTGGCTTGGAGGGTACAGGCCTTAATTTCCCCTCCCATAGTACAAATCGCGGTGCATTAGGGTCACCTAAAATTAAATCATCCTTCAATCCACTATCCACCTATAAAAAATCAACAAACATTGATTTGGACACTAAAAAAATTAGTAACCCAACGCTATGTTTGGATTGAAGGGAGGAAAAGAAAATGAAAGAAAAATAAGGTAATGGAAATAGAAAAACCCTTCTTTTTGTTTGGATAAACTTTTAATTTAAAAAAAAAAAAAGAGATAGAAACTTAATAATCTTTGGTTTATTTTGTGATCGTCACTTTTTTAATACTCTAATTTGAGGGAAAAGCTAAGGAAAGTAAAGTTAAAAATTTTTTATTTTTATAAAAAAGACTATTATATTAATATTTTTATTATGATATTAGATTTGATTATATAATTTATACTTTTTACAAAAATAATTTTTTTATGAGTATTTTATATAACATCACAATTTATAAATATTTTAAGATTTTTTAACTCTTAACAACAAAACAAACTAAATTATTGTCAAAACAAATTAATAGATTGAATTAAACATAAAATTAAAAATAAATTAATAATTAATTAATACATCTTATCATATTAAACATGCTTAATTTTGTTTAAAAAAAATTGTTTATATAAGCTAGTTTGTATAAAGATATATTTTGTATATTATATGTTACTTTATAAAAAAAATTATAATTAAAAAAAATATTATAAAAAATTATTTCTTATTTTTTTTTTATTTATCCAAGTAATGATTATTAAAATTTTTTTATTTTCATTTTGTTTAAAAAAAATTGTTTATATAAATTAGTTAATAAAAATATATTTTATATGTTATAAGTTAATTTATAAAAAAAAGTTATAATTAAAAAAATTTTATAAAAAAATTTTTTTTTTTCTATTTATCCAAGTAATGATTATTAAAATTTCTTTTTTTTTTTTTTTATTAATTTTAAAGAGATACATGTACCTTTTCCTTTTCTTTTTCTTTAAAAAACTTTCATTTCCTTTTCTTTCCTTTTCTTTATTTATATCTATCCAAAGCGAAAATTTTCTGATTTAATAGAGTTCAGTTAAACAGCAAATGATATAATAAATCGCATAATTAATTAATTACAGTAATAATTACGAAAATGTAATTCAGGAACAATGTAGATTAAGAGGAACTTACCGCCATAGTGAGAATAGGATCGGATGGCTGGAAACTATTGGGCCCTTCTTCCCACAGATATCCATCTCTCTCAACGGTTGTGATGTTGCCACCGACTCGGTCTCTGGCCTCCGTCACGATCACATTGGAAGCGACGTCACGGTGCTTGGTGGCAAGAGCTTGGGCAATGCATAGCCCGCTGATGCCGCCTCCTACGATGACGCAATCCGCAAGTGAAGATTCCCCGCCGTCGATCTTCGATGAGGAAATTGTGGGCCCCTCGGCGATGGAGCAGCGGAGCTTGAAAGGTTTGTGAATGCGGGGCGGGATTTGGTGGTTGGTCTTGGAGAAGGGGGAAACGGAGCGGGAAGATCGGAAAGGACAGAGGTCCGTTAGAGTTGTCATGGCCGGTGGGGCCTATCGAGCGATAGGGAGAAAGGGCGGTGGAATTGCAGGTGGGCGAGTGAAACTACGCCTTTGGGCAGATTCTGCTATACTGTTATCTTCAAAGGAAATATTGAGTGTGCTTACTCACACGTCTGAGTGGGTTTGACTTCTTTATTTCTTTTTACCGATCAGTCAATTACTCAGGTGATGCTGTAACATGTACTTATGACGGATTTATCAAAAAAGTGAACTACGTGATTATAAAATTAAGATTTAAGATGATTCAGCTAACACAAGTAACTTTTTTTTTTTTTTGCAATAGTAGGATATCATACTAACCAGTTAATTTTGATAGATCAATTCACCATTAGGCAGCAACAATCTAATTCTAATCCATGAAAATCCGTAATAACTTAAAAGACCATTACTCTTACATAGTTAGCCAAAGTTTAAAAAACGAGCTGGGCTTTGGCATAGGCCCAAATTCCGTTTGATCCGCATAAATTTTTATATATTTATATTTATATTTATAATATATTATAAAAATAAATAAATAAATAATATGTATATACAAACTAATATTTATATGTACCAATCTAATGTAAACATCAAATTAAATTAATTATTTGTTTTAAATTTTATTTTGTCACGTGCAATATTTATTATTATTCATTTATTATTTTTTTAAAGATAAAAAATTAATCAACTTTAAGTGGATTTAAACAATAAATGAAACTTATATTATAGGTTAGATCAAATTTTAATAAATTTGAATCTATTAATATTTATTTAGACTTAGATTCAAATTCAATTCAAATTTATTTATTAGCCATAATTTTAATAACTCAATTTCAAACCGTTTGAATTGAAGTTTGTAAAATTTTTATGATTTTTTATTTTTACTTCAACATTTATTTACTTAATTCATTTAAAAAAAGTTTGAGACATTAAACATCTAATTTTTTTTTTAAATTTACCATCTCTAAAATTCTAATCAATGTATGTATCATTTAAATTAATATTTAATTAATAATTTTTTGGTATATTAAATGAGAATGTTGATAAAATGATTATATTTTTCAATAAAAAAATCATTAAATTTCAAATTTTCAACTAAATTACATGCATTAAAAAAACCCAACATTTTGAGCAATAAAGGTGTAGACCCAAATTTTAAATCTTGATAGGTTATTCTTTTTTTTTTTTTTCTTGAAAATTTATGATTTTCATAACAGATTTTCACGAGGACGAAAATCGACTCGGTGGGCCGCCGCCTCATCCATAAGACATCTGAAGCTTGACAGTAATAAGAAAAGGAATACAGGGGCAATCTCGACAATTGACTGAATTCAGATAGTGCGCAATGCGCACAATGAGTACATTTATAATTAAGGACGTTGATTGCAGGGTCAACCTATACAGTTGACTGAATTCATATACGTGCGCAAGGCGCACCCTGCGTACATTTATACTTATAAGACGTTGCAATTTGGCATTTCCAATTTCAAGAGTCTTGGAACGAATTTCCCCTTCCCGCTTCTTTTCCCCATTCGCAAGAAATTACTCAAAAATTCACCACTCTCCCTTCCTATTCTTTCTTCTACGATTATTACTCCACTACTCTAATTTTCTCTTCACCTCACCTTATTTCTTCTATTTTTCCTCGTTCAAAGTCGCCAAGCAAAATCGAAACCCAGCGCTTTTTAATTATCAGCGTGAAAAGTGACCGGTAAGAAATTACATTTCTTTCAATTTCAATTAATTTCACAACAGATCTCTTTTTAAAATGTTATTCATGTTTTCTTACATCTAAATCTAAATCTATTTTGAATTTATGGCGGCGCTCTCTTTGATTGAATTTCACGTTTTCGTAGATTTTGCTTCCTACATTGATCTTAGAGGTTTCGGGAATCGCTCGGGATTCGAATTTATGCTATTGTTTTTTTTTTTTTTTAATTTTTATTGTTCATGGTTTTCTTGTAATTGTGATAAATTAGGGTTTCATTTGCGTTTCGTGTTTTTCTGAGTTTTCTTGTTATCTTTCTACATAGAAGCATGGGATTTTTTTTTAGTTGCATATATATTAATTTTTGATAATTTCCTTTTCGATCTGATGATCCGGTGTTTTTGCCTTTGCTTTACCTTTTGTTTGGTTGGTGAGAAAACGACAAAATCAGAGGAGAAAAAAGGGTTAAAACCCTGGCATCTCACGAGAAAATGGAGCGATCTCCTAAGATTATTTGAAAATTCGTACATAGTGGAGTTGAACTATGAATTTGCTTTTCGCATTTTCTCAGTAACCAAACAGAGTTTTAGAGATGCACCTTTTATTTTTTGTTTCTTCTTCTAAACTTCAGTTGTTCACTCTGCAGGTTGTTCCGAGCTAAAATCGTGAGAATGGAAGTAGACGTGAGACGAAGTTTACGAGAAGTAAGTAGGAAAAAATACCTGTTTTACAATATATGACATTGATTTAAGTCGTTATGATGGAGCATAATGGTACTTAAATAGTTTTCCTGTTATATTCAATTTATGTGCGTTGTTTATCCTATTAGTAGATTCATTTCCAGTTCTTGCAATTTGTAGGTCGTGTTTTCCTGTAATGTGCAAGTTACTTGGTTTTGGACACTTTTGAATATGCATTTAGCTTAATTCTCATTGGTTTATATAGGAAATTAATAACACTGAACTAGCATTGCTATTGCCGCATTACGAGTCCTGTAACTTATTGCAACTCAATAACTGCTGCAAGAAATTTAGTGTTTGATGCCAGCAAATTTATATTTCAGGATCGAATGAGTGACTGTCGAAGTTTTGGCAGCAATTATCGTCCATCCAGTCAATCTAGAAAGATTTCTATAGGAGTTATGATAGACTCTTTAGCTAAGAGAAACCTTGGAGCAACCAAGGAAGACAAGGGTAAACAGCCAAACGCAGAAAGAATCAAACCTAGCAGTGAAATTTCCACAGAGGGAAAAAACAAAATGGAAGTTGTCACAACTTCCAAGAGGAAGCAAACTGAAGATACCGAGCAGGTTAAGTCTCCATGGATTACTCCTAAATCCTTAAATAAAAAATTTATTGCTCCAGATACTGCCTCTTTTGCGGAAGAAACTTCCAACCCTAGACAGAAGAAACATAATGCAGTGAAGGATCTGCCAGTAACATATTCAGTTCAGTTTTTTTCAAACCAAACCTTGAATGCACAGAATGTTGGTAGCGGGCAGAATAAGTTTGATGGCCACAAAAGGAAAGGAAGGATGGATGGCAACTCACAGAGGATGAAGGAGTTCAATTTTGCAAATGCAAAGAAAGTTGTTGGGCTTGATAAAGAGGTGTTAGAGGAGAAAGCAGATAAAACACGAAACGTACAAACTGAAACTTTGAAAACGAAGCTGCATGAGTTATTGGGAACTGTTTCTTCACCAAAAAGTTTGCGATCTAGTTCACAGTTTCATGAAGTCAATGCCAATAATTTAAAACCAGAGATAAGCACTGATCATATGGGAGACACAGTTGTAAAACCCAGACAAAATTCAGATACTATAGAAACTGATTCAGAAAATCCTGATAAGACTATTAAGAGGCCAGTAACCCGATCTTCGACCGGAAAGCCAGTTCCAGCCAAAGTGCAACCAGACAAGACTAAAGTTGGTTTATCCTCCAAGCAGAAACAACAAGAAAGCATCTTCTCTCTTGGAGAAGGAAGATTTACAAAGCTAGATGGTGCTGTCAATAGTGGCTCAACATTGTCCTGGAGAATGACAATTCAGAAGAAAAGATCTAAAATTGATCCAAGTAAGATCTGTTTTCCTGAAGAGGATAACACAGATGAGATAAAGCAATCAACTTATAGGAGTGAAACACCACTGCCTGCAGAGAATACTTCTATACTTGGTAACAAGATTGAAAGCCTTCCTGTCTCCTTTAGTGAGAAAAGGAGAGAAAACTTTGAAAGGGTTCAAGAAAAAGACTCTTTTCATTCTCCAGTGACCAACGAGACAAGCCAGCAGGTTAATCTTGAGAATCCAACGTCACCAAAAAATGGGGATAAACAAGAAGATTATGATAACATATCTTTGAGGAATTTTGTGTATGCACAAGATGATCTCCAAAGTCCAACTTTAGGATTCAAAACACCTATTTTAATTACTTCTCTGAGTGCAATGCCAAAAACTGCAGAGATAGAGCAAGGTGCTTGCAGTCCTGTACCATCTGACAGAGGATTTACCATACGAAATTTCCGGATCTTCAGGACTTTCCAGACTTCAAGACCTGTTTATAATAAATCCAATGCACAAGCTCAATCAATTGTATCCTTAACTATTCTTCAGTATTCTGATATGGGAGTTGAATATATATCTAAACTTGAGCATTATCTTTTCTGCCTTTGCCCTTCCTTAATGAGTTTCAGGAAGATGCGGAGAAGCATACCAATTCTTCACTCGGGAATCCAATGCCTGCTAAGGAAAAAAATGATGCAGTAAATGAGCATTCTGAGGCATCATCGGAAGACCGGTGTTCAGAGAGTTTTGAAGAAGGATCACCCATTATTAGAAGATATGATTGTAATTATTGAAAATGCTTTTCTGAGACACGCTATATACATTCTTCCAAACATTTACCAAGGAACCCATTTGACATATGATTTACCATCAGTTACTTCTAAACAATCAATTGCTTGGATGATAAGAGTTCATATGTGCCTTCTGACATACATTCTTACAAGACATTCTACCTGATTTTTTACTGCTGATTGATGTGTTATCAATGGTTGTATGTTTCAAAAGTAGAAAGATTGGAAAGTTGCAGTTTTAATTTTGGTCTCTCTTCTTGATATTGCACCCTCTGCTTATGGCTTTACAATTGGAAATTTTCTTTTCTCTTTAGGAAACTGTTTAGAGCAAAAATCATATCATAAAGCCACTCCACCCTTGTAACTGCTCCTAGTTCTTTTAATTCATGTCATGAAACTATTAGCCTTCTTTATTGCATCTGAAATTCATGGTAACTTATCACTTTGGAGAGAAATCTTGGTATTTGTCACATTAGGCTGTTGTTCATTGATTAATCTAGTTGACTGTCTTTCTTAATTTTCGTAGCTTAATTGACTTAACAAGCTCTAACCTTTCTGTATTGTGTATAGTGTTATGCATCAGCATAGATTCTTCTTAATTCCGTTTTTTTTTTTTTTCTAATTTATTGTTCAAAATTTTCCTTTTTAATGTATGCTCCTTTGGTTCTTTATCTGATGGTTTGTCAAGGTCACAGAGAAAAGCTGATCTCACGAGAGACTGTTATTTCTGAGAAACCAAAATTTGTGCATTGTCCAATCAAATGGCTTCGAAACTATGAAGATGTCAGACTTAGTGAATTCAGTCCCACCTCACCCCCTGAAAAAGGCACAACTTAACATTTGAACATCTACTGCTCTCCTTATCCTCACATCAGTTTCTTTCTAAAGTATATTCTTCTCTGTTTTCTTCAAAAGGGGCAGGGATTGGAGAAAGTTATTGGTTCCAGGAACCCTCAGAGCAAGACCAAGAAGATGAATTGACAAGGTCCTCATTTTTATCTAAACAAAGATTAGGAAATACTTGCTGATGTTGTCAGTGGATCATCACCTTTATTCTTGATTGACTTAAGTTTTGCTTGGCAATATTTCAGGGCTATTACACTGTTTGCTTTGGCTTTGGAAACCTTTAAATGGAAAATGGATTCAGCAACTAGAAAGAAGTCAACTGAGATTTTGATGTCCATTTCTGAGGAGATTAAATCAATGTTGCTGAATGCTGAGTCTCATATTGAATCTGATGTGTATGTATTTAAAACTGAAAGCTTTTCAAATCAGTCACGTTGATACTTAGCTTTGGTTTTCATAATTCTTCAGAGGGAAGTTGAGTACTGTCAGTAAAACAAAAAGGAAACGCCTGGAAACAAGATTGCAAGGTGACAGTTTTGTATTAACTTGATAGCTTGATTTGCTTATAAAGATGCCATCTGCTCCTAATTGCTTTGAAAAGTGCTTATTTTTTTATCATGAATTAGAATATTACTTTGAACACACAGGCTTTTAACAAAAAGCATGAGTTGGATCCTATTTTCTGTGAAAAACATGATTACTGATATGTGGTTGAAAGCAAGCCATGCTGGTGTATACATGGAAACACAGTTTCACCTTTCTTTTCTTACAAATTTGCAGTGTTATTATAACAAACTTGACACAGGAGTGCTATTGGTCTTACAGATTCTCTGTTTTTAATAATTTATCTTAGTAAATTAACTCTCAAGGAGGTCTTACTTGATTTTTCTATTTGATTTGCTTTACTTTCTAACAGAGCAACAAGAACAGTTGAAGCTGATAGTTGAGAAGTTCAAGGAGGATATCCATCATCATCTTCTGGACTGCAATAGTATCCTTGAAGGGATGGAAGCTCACCAAAATGAGTTAAAGGGAATCATGAAGAAACAAAGTATGGCAACTTTATTTATTTTGAATAAATTCCTTAACTAGGACTGCATTATTGCATCTTGTTTTCATGGATGTTTTCCTTTAGCTTAAGCAAAAATATGACACCATTTGCTTCAGTATGAGACACATGCTGTCCTTGTCACTGACATGTGGTGGTGAAGCTAATTTTCATGAAAGTTTTCATTGGTGGATAAAGAATAATTTTATGTGGAATATTTCTTGGGACGTCAGGATATTGATTCAGTCCATGATTTTTCAAACGAGGCTATTTCAGTTTGTAGAAATTACTTTTCCAGAGGTTCTTGGATATGACATCATCTATGATAGTGGTTGCATTCAGGAATATAGTGTTTAAAACCTTCACTGCCATATTCTCATATTTTAAAATTACTTATTGGATGCTGAAAAATTTTAAAACCGGTTATACTGGAGCATTAAAGCATGTAACTAGAATGCAGATCAAGATGCAAAGTGACAAATAATTCTTTTAAAATTAGAATTCGATGTATAGTTATAGAATTATGTTTGACAGTCTTTAATGCTTGTATGTAGCCAGTGTTATGCTTAAATAATATGCTGGTGTATTCTGATTGCCGTGACTGTCTCATTGTCTTATATATTTACAGAAGCATCACACCAGAAGCTTCTCATGCATGCGCAAGAAGCAGCTGAAATCCAACTTAATAATGCCGAAAGAAGAATGACAGCTGTCCATGAGGCAAGTTCATTGTTTCTGTTTATAATAAAAGTTTAGCACTGGCTTTTCTACAATTCAGGCACGGTGTGTAATGCGCATATTATGTGGGGCATCCACAGGCCAAATGCCTTGTTCTGGGAATATAGTCATACAGTTACCAAACCTTGGTGAGTTGGATAGATACATTAATTGGCAGCCACTAGACGGTAGATTTGTGTAGGCTTGGAAGTCTGTGCTGCTGAGTGTATGTGGAAACTCACATCCAATCTCTAAAGCATTATCAGTTTTAACCCAAAAATTTCATAATTTTATCTCATAAAAGGTGTCTCACAAGTTAGAGATAAAGTCTCAACTTACATATCATCATGACAGATTCTTAAAATATCTTGATTTGGGATTGGGATATCATAAACTTTCACTGTTAAATTTTGACATTCTCGTCAAATTCAACACAAAGCACACAGAATCACAGAAGGTCATATTATAGCACTTAGCTCCTACAGGATTCTAGATGTAGTTCTCACGATATAGCATTTAGCTCAACATGGAATCATAGAACCACACACTATAGCACTTAGTCCTTGCAGGATTTTAGAGGTAGTTCTCACGATGTAGCAATTAGCTCCTATTCAATTCATAATCACTCTAATATCATTTGTGAAAATTTACACCCAACCTATGAGGTACTATTCATTTTGACCTGAAAGTCTGACGATTTTATCTTATAAAATGGGCCTCACAAGTTTGGTTTTAAATCTTCACTTTATATTTTAGTAGATTCTTAAAATATTCCGATGTGAGATTGGGGTGTCACAGTATACATCATACTTGTATGGAATTAGCTCACTAAATACTGCTTAAAGTAGAAGCCTAGATAATTGATAAGTTTCTCTTTTGGCACCTCCAATCTTGCAAAGCTTGAACCTATGAACCTTGTTGTAGTCTGGCTGGGATCCTTGAGTTGCTGCCCACTTTATATTGATTCCTCATACTTAAGATAGTCGTTGTAGATCATTCCTTTTAGCACTCAAATTCTTCATTATATTTCAGAACTGAATGTTTACATTGTAATTTAATGCAGTCGGCGAGGGAAAAGATGCTCCAGCTAAAACATGTGATAGCAGAGTGCTTGAGAGACAATATAAACTAAACTGACAGATGCATGAAGATCAACTTTCACTCATCTGAAGAACTAAGAACTTGACATTGTAAATTGTTGTATGTGCTAACATTTTTCTAATACCTTGTTCTCTACTTAGCCATTGATTATTCATCTTTCAATTGTCCAATAGAACCTTATCTGCAATAGTGGTGAACTGGTGATATCACTTTTTCTTTGAGTGGAAATGCGTTCTTGATGCCCATGTTGGCCTGAGTAGTGTGATTGGTTTTAGTCTTTTAGATATGAAAATGTAAAGAATCTCGGACTGTAGTGCATTAGATTTATGGCCCGCAATGATGAGACCTCTTTTCCAAATATTTACATGATTTTGATGCAGAAGGCACTTTGGAGATTTCTAGGTAATTACATTATTCGTTGTAGTAACTCTTTGTTGGATTTATATGTGAACCGAGATGGTGCCACCTGTATTTTCTGAAGTTTTGGTTGTTTTTCTTTTTACACGTGCACCTTAAATGAAGGAAAATGATAGTGCAATTTTCTTTTGGGGTACTGGATGAAACGGATATGAATGTTCCATATTTCGTTGTTTGTCATTACTTATTTGCAAACATTTGTGGGGGCGATAAGCTCAAAAATCTTATTGTTGGCTTTGTGTTTATGGTGTTGGGTTATTAAACTCACAAGCATCTTCCAGTCCACGGGCTGGTCTTGTTACTACGGTTTTTCGTTAAGTCTCTATACACCACAATCACGGTGAGACATGTCTTCAATTTTCCTTTTTTTTTCCCTATTCCGCCACTCCTTTTTCCATGCCCCACAATCTGCTGTTCGTTGTGATGCAACGAAACTGATTACCACTGTGGTCTTTTACATCAGCATAGAACCAAAAAATAGTTTTTTTTTGGGATTAAAAAAAGAGACAATATGATGCCTTTGTTCGGTTAAACACGCCCTTGTTAGGTTGAACACACCTTTATAATTTACAAGAGACGCGGGGCAGAAATTTTTGGGTTTTCTCAGGCGGACACGCCAGCATCGAAAACGAAAGACTTAAAATTTTGGGCATATTCTACATGGGATTAGGTTTTATATCTGACACCATTTAATGTTCATTGAGTTTGGGACTTTCATTTTCCTCATCATTGTGGTGCCCTGAGTCCCTCCCTTCATAGCACTGTCGCTGTCAGTCTGTTTTTCTTCAAGTATTGGCCACAGGTTTGTTTCGTCGATCCTTGCAGCTGCCTGCCTGGCAGAGGAAAAGTTAAACCTAAAAAAAAGAAATACAAGAAAAAGTACAAAGACATGAAAACATAGGGCCACGTGAACCATAGGTTATCACGTGAAGGACACGCTTTTTTCTTCAGTCTTACTTCCTTATTGCGAGGATTTGATTCGATGGCAGTGACCAACTAATTGATCAATGGGATTACAGGTCGCCACTGGGCGGTGGCTCCACTTAGGACTGTGGCAAGTCCTGGTCCTGACCCCCCAGTCCACGTGGGTGTCTTGGATTCCTTGGTGGGCTCCAACAAAATTTTTGCCATGTCTTTGTCACGTTTTTGAAGTTTCATTTTCAATTTCAAGATAACGAAGATAATGAAAATGATCGTCACTCGCGGTTCATTCGCAAGCTTTTCCTCATGCTTATTGTCAATTACCATCAACCAATTATGGTGTGGGTTTCAATTAATCAACCACTATAATTATTAATACTATAATTAATGCATCATCAAACCCTTTTTGATCGAGTGACTTGCATTCCAATTTTTTTAAAATTTTGATTTGATGATATTTTTAATATGTATAAACTTAACTTAAAAGGGAAATAAACTATTTAGATAATTAAAATTTTAGTACTGTTTTTTAAATATATTTTAAATTCAAGGTGTTTACAAATTACAATATTTTTTTAAGTACATGAGATAAATAGTCATAGAATCAAATGTATATTATAGTCATAGAATCAAGTGTATATTCTCATATCCTCATGTAGGAATGTGTGAAATACGTATTTCTTGGGTTGAAAGAAACATGATTTCTAAACATTTCAAGCACATTTGAGAATCAATAATCCCAGCCAAAAATTAAATGCTACCTCCATAGCTTCTATGGCTAAACATGAAACCGTATGATTGTTAGCTAAGATATTTAAACGTTGGAAGCCAGTTCATATCAGTACATCACGACGAAGCAGGAGCATCTCTTTCTCTTCTATTTTGCTTCTATTCTGCCTTCCTTTTTCTTTTCTCCGGGGAATGGGTCCTCGATTAAGACACCACAATTCCAATGGTCCCAAAAGTCTCAAGCCTCTTAAAACAGCAAATTATTAGGATATCTTCTTTGCTGGTGGGCAGTGATCGTGGCCCACCCTCTCCAGTGTGGACACCTAACCTCCACGCAACAACATATTTAAGATTGGACAAGCTTCAATTGTGTGGACGCCTCATTTTTCAACCCAGGAATCTACCAATCCCACGGTCCTATCGGTGTTGTATAATAGTTTTACAAAGAATTTGACTCATCCTATTCCCAGTGCTTGATTTGAGGCTCTTCTTCGGAGCATTTCCAATTTCGTTGATTTCTAGGATTTCGAGTGCCATAGCGGGTAAGAGTCCCTTATAAACATGCCTATGTGGAGTTTCCTTGTTGGTAGGGTAGCCTCAGGGAATCCTATCTATGTTTTGGTCATTGTTTTTTGTTCTTCATTTGAAGAAAAAAAAATGATTCTTAGAGATGAAAATAGAGGATTGACAGGACTAATACAAATTCATACTAACATTAATTTGTAGGCAGAATCTCATTGTTGAGTATTATTGATGTAGGTTAGGTAAACTACATTCAGCTGCGACACCAAGGTGTAATAACAAAATTGAAACGGACGGTTCATTTGTTGAACTTCCGGGGACCTGGCAAAAATATTGTCCAGTAACTCAAAACACTTTCTGGATCTCATACAATGGCAGAAGAACAGTCCCCTGAATCAATCCCCCCGAGCATGACAGGCCACTTGCCTAATTTGGCATCCATGTATGTTTTCAAGTTAAAAGCACTGTATATCTATGGTGTTTCTTATTTTAGTATTCTCTTTTATGTATTGAATCTATTGACGGAGTTTTCTAACGCAGGTGTGATCGTGATCTCCTGGAGCTGGTATGGGAAAACGGCCAAATTCTCGTTCGACGTTTGTCGACCAAGATAACTAAAAGGAGTACTAATTTCCCATGCTCAGATTATTTTCGTGATCAATCTTCTAAGGCTCGAATTCAACGTGAAGGAGAAACCTCTACTGCAAATAGATCAAAGGATGGGGTTGCAGATTCTACGTTCGGAGATCGCTTATCAGGTCTCTCAGGTCTGACTAAACTGGACTGTCATGATAAGAATAAGACAAATAATTCTCTGCAAATTGGTTACCCGGAACTATTGTCAGAATTGTGCGAAGATGGTTTCAATGTTGTTTTGGGATCCAACAAAAAAAGCTACGATAAGCAACTTATAGATTCTAATATCGTTCCTGTAAGCCAATTCAAAAATTTTAAACAAAGCTACCTATCCAAGCTCGCTGAGGAGATTCCACAGCAAACTATGCAAAGCAATCGCGAGGTACCTCAGTCTTCCTTGAAGCAATATGAAGCTTCTATTAAATTTATGAGATCAAATGAGAAAAAGTCAAGGATTGATGAGAAAAGTGATAGGGTGAACTTTTCCATCTTCTTAAGACCTCCAATTCTTCTTAAATCTACCCATTCAAGCTGTGGTGCAACAAGACCAACGAGCAGTCCAAGTTTAGCAGGAGTTGATGAGAATTTAGAAGGCAACGCCGGAGCTACCCCAACTAGCAATCCCTTTGAAAAAGAAGGAAATGTTATGGCTAGAAACATGAAGCCAATATCACCAGATGCTGAGCCTCAAAAAGAGTCACTTCCTGATGAGCAATCCGAAGCCGTTGGCTATAAAGATACCCCTTCAAATACAAGATTTCCTATTAAGGATCATGGTCCATCCTCAAGCTTAGCGCCAAATACAACCATTAAGGGAAATCCTGGTAATAGAAAACCTGTTGACCTAATGGTTGCATCATCTTCGGTTTGTTCGCGTGGGGCTTCAAACTGTCCAACGTACACTTTGAAAAGGAGATATGAAGACACTGATCTCAGTGAAGTATGTAATCTTTGTCAAAAGATATTTTTTAGTGAATTTATATTTTTGTTGATAGCTTTTCCCCTTTAATTCTAACGATACTCATATTGCAGAATAATGCAATGGAAGAACCCGAGGGCATTATCAAAGCTGCACCAGCACAGGGAAGAAAAGGTGCTAAGACTAAGAGAAAAGCAGAAGTTCACAGTATATCTGAAAGGGTAAGTGCAGCCAACCGCTAAAAACTAAGTACAAAGGCAGGCCTTTGTTGCAAATGAAATCTGATAAGCTGTTGGGTATTTTCTGCTCACAGAGGCGAAGAGATAAAATCAACAAGAAGATGCGTGAATTGCAAGAGCTCATACCCAACTGTAATAAGGTTAGCACTCTTCGTCACAGTATCACTTTGTCAACAACCAAATCGAGTCACTCCTCCAATCCATTTTTCCAAACTTTCTACACTTATCTAACCTCGATCTCTCTCTTGATTACTCTTCCTACGTGTATGACCTTTTTAGGTGGACAAAGCTTCAATGCTTGATGAGGCAATTGAGTATTTAAAGACCCTCCAGTTCCAAGCTCAGGTAGCCTTTCCAGTTCTTCCATTACAAATTATATATGGCTTCTGTTAGATTCAAATATCAAATTAGACCTTAATCATGGTTTCTTGGGACAGCTGATGTCAATGGGAACTAGGGTTTATACGCCTTCAATGATGTTACCTTCGGCAATGCAACATATAAATGCACAACATTTGGGTGGCTTTTCTCCCATGGCTGTTGGGATGGGTATGGGAATGCAAATGGGCCTCGGCTGCGGCCCAGCACAGTTCCCAACTTCACTAATATCTAGAGCTGGAGCTGGAGCTCTGCCTGGGATCGCAGAAGCTAGACTCAATATGCTTGGTTTACCTGGTCAGGTGTTATTAATGTCCATGCCACGTTCACCTTTTGTATCTTTGGCTGGAACATTTTCCCCACAGTCGTTCCAAATTCCTGGGGTATCTCAAGCTGATGCTGTGCAAGTGAAAATTCCAGTTGCTACTGTTCCCCAATCTACATCAAAGGTTTCAGATCCAGCACATTAACTCAAAAAATTACAGCAGAGCGAATCAATTCTCGAAAGTTCCAAAGACCCCAGATCTCCTATCATCAGGTTTGCCCACTTGCCATTTAGAAAATTTATTCTCTTATAATACTTCTGATATTTTGATATATAGTGTATTCTTTTTGAAAGTAGAATTTCAAAAGATTTAAACTAAAAATGAAAGTAAAAATAGAAAAACATGTAATAACTCATGTCGTCAGTTTGTATTTCAGACATAAAGGTGTAAATCTAATCAAGAGGAAACCATAACCGAATTCATACAAAATAATATAACCATGCATATAAATAAGGTAAAATAATTAATTTTTATCTCATTGGTTTATTATTCTTCATTTAAATTTTGCAATGGTTTTTATTTGTAGTCTATCATATGGTATATAATTTATTCTTCATCTTTTTTTTTCCTGTTTTATTGCCAATAGATTTCGTGGTTTCAATTTTTCATGTTCCTTTTGCTCCTTTATAAACACAAAACTTGAGAAGCTAACTATTAATAACAATTATTTGCAGCTTCGCAGGAGCCAAATTTCTATAATTTTTATGAACTAGTGGACGAGATGGGACACCCTTAAAACGTAAAAATCCTCTCGTTTCTTCATGTATTGGCTTGTTTCTGCCTTTGATTCAATTATGGACAACTGCGACTGGATCCAATGTTTGAAAATGGAGTATTACAGTCATGGAATGAGGCGTATATAGGAGGACCCCTTTATCAGCAAAGATTAGCAGGCCTGATCAAGTTAGATATACTTCTGAAAAGCCAAGGTGATGAGTGACCCCTTTTCCGGAGGAAACACAGTAAATTCCAGTAGTGGTTTGCATCAGGTTGCTGCTTTTCATATCATTACATTACCACGGGAATATACTAACTTCATTTTGCAGCAGTTTAGACTTTTTCCTTCCAACATGAGAGTTTTTTGAGCTGAATACTAATAAACATAGTGATGATTCACTTGGAATTTGTAGTCAGACGAACAGTTTGTGTATATAGCCTGCTTTCATACAACAAAATAAATAAATGAATACATAAAAGGGAAAAAAAGTTATAATGTTGGTAAACATTTAAATCTAGCAAAACAAGATTTCATTAAATTTCTAATTGGAACCAAAAGTATTTAGTCTGTACATGAACCTTAGCTGCAGCAACCAAGCTAACAGCAACTGTACCAAACTCGCCACTTTTCAAATTAATTAATCCTTCTTAAATCATTCTCAGATGTGGATTCTTCACCTGTTTTTTAACCTTTTGAATCATCGTCCACCCTGAAATCTGCTGGAGGTTGATACTTCCAACTTCCACGGTGATCTGCTTAACTTGTGCCCATTGAATCATTAAAAGTTTCAGCCAACATCAAAATTCATCAGAATGTCTTGAATCTTACCTAATTTAGATTGTGTAGCATGGATCATATAAATCCTCGAAACTACCTCAATCCAGCTGGTTCCAGGTCTCTTTGGAAGCATATATATTGGATGACAGAACATAATGGCCTAAATCTTTGAGATCTTTCTGTCAAATAAGCTTCTTTAAATACTCTACCAGCTCAATCTTATTATGAACTCTGCAGGCACCAAGTAAACTTCCCAAAATGTTCTTGTCTGGTTCTATTGGCATTTTTTTTTATAAGATCATATGCATCATCAAGGTGTCCTGCTCTACCAAGAAGGTCCACAATGCATGAGTAGTGTTCCATGTCCAGTGCAATACTATAATTATATATCATAGAATGATACAATGGCCAGCCTCTATCAACTAGACCAGCTTGATTGCATGCTGTCAAGAGTGCAATAAATATGACTTTAGTGGGTCTAATTCTTGCCTCCTTCATTTGCTCAAAGAATTGAAAAACATGTTCTCCAAATCCGTAAATCCCATGAGCAGAGATTATTATGTTATATGTCACAATATTCCTTTCTTTCATTTGATTGAAAACACTTACTCCAAGTTCAAGACTCCCACATCTGCAATACATATCTATTAGAGAATTTCAACAGAGACTGCTGTTCCAAGACCGCTTCTGATTGCATAGGCATGGATTTCTTTCCCATATTTAAGAGGTCCAATTTTTGTTCAAATCAGAAGAATGCTGACCAGGGCTATGGAATTTGGTCTGAGATTGAAATCCCATATTCTCTGAAAAATCTGAAATGCAGTATCAACCTCACTCACCATTAAAAGAATATCCTACCATCATTGAATTCAATAATGTAATGTCCCTGTCTGACATTACCCTAAAAATGTGCTCTGCTTTTGTCATTGATTTACGATTGGTATACATTTCAATCAGTGCAGCTCCCACAATAACTGATTCAAACCCTTGTTTTAGGATATAACCATGCATCTCCTTTCCGTGCTTCAATAATTTCAGTAGGCAAAAATGAGTGGCACCGCATTTACAGAACATATCCATCAGAGCATTACAAACATACAAATCACTCTCAGCACCTCACCTTGTAGCTAATCCTTGAAGGGTCATTCCCATTTTAATATCTTCCAGTCGGGCACAAGCTGGAAGAATGGCTCCCATAATAACTGAATCAGGTCTTAGCCCTTCTAACACCATACTTTTAAACGGAGACAATGTTTCAAACCACTCTCCACTTTGCACATTCCGATAGATCAGTGCACTCCAGCAAGCTATATCTTTCTCTCTCATTCCTTCAAAAATCTGCCGTGCTTCACTTAGACTTCCACACTTGGCAAACATATCTATCATGGCACATCCAACATTAACATTGCATTTCATATCATAATGACTCTCATTCCACAGAATAAAATCCCGGATCTTCTTACCTTTTTCAAGATCATTCAACTCAGTACAAGCCTTCAAAACAAGTGGGTAAGTGAAATTATCAGGTATAAACTCTTGACTAATCATCAAGTGACATAATTCAACTGCTTTGAAAAAACGACCCATATCAAGAAAACCTCTAAGGATTCCATTCCAAGCAAGGTTACTCCTTTGGGGCGGCTTATCAAACACAACAAGTGCATCTTGTAAACAGCCAAAGGTGACATAAACATTAACAAGCTGTGAACCAAGGACCCTATGAGCATTGCTGGAGTTAAAGAATCCATTGATAATCAAAAGAGCATGCAATCTTTTGGCTTCAGAAAGATTCGATGGTGACTTATATTGAGATAATAGGGAGCTATGCAAAAGATTTTGATAACTGAATAACTCTGGCAAAGAAGAGCTATTCGTGAGATGAAAGGTGTTGTTGGCTTGAGCAGTGGATTTATGAGACGGGTTTTTGCTTGGATTTTGGTTAAGAGAGTTGAAATTGGCCTGCCTATAATAAGGGATAGTCCAATTTCAAGGCGTGATGATGGAGAACTAGCATTTTTTAAAGATTGCGTAAATGTGCCAAAATCAGAACATGAAATTGTTTTAGCATTTTATGAGGAAGAAATGGCGGTGTGAGAGCAGACAGCTTAGGCTGCTTATAACATTGTCATTATTTCAATGGTAGCTTTCCATGTAATGTATAGAACAGTTTTCTTTTGCAGTCCACTAATATGATAGGAGCTCTACCTCTTGCTGGCTTGTTGGATTGCTTAAGCAACGTAAAGCAATTAGCCTCTGGTGTTGCTGTTGATTATTTCAACAAAATTACAAAGGCAGTGATCAAGCTAAAGCATCCGAGTCCACAAATGACTAAAATAATAAACAGAAAATATTTGGTGACAGTGGGCGGTGGACAATGGGCATAGTATCAGATACAAGTTCAAAAGCATCATTCCATGTACATATTCTGCATTACAAATATATTTATATGTACAAAGAAGCCAACTGCTCAAATGAATGACTAGTAAACCAGTATTCATTATCTCAGTGATGGTTATCACAATATGGTCATATTCAAAACAGGATTTGTATTTATGCAGCTTCAAGAATCAGGCTCTTTGATTCCTTGTTCTTAGCTGGTATCCCAGAGTTTTGAATTGCTGATCCCTTGGTTGGAGCATCCACTAGTTTTAGGTTTGACAGAGCATCAGCCAATGATTCATTTGATCCAGCTGTACCACTGAGACCAGCTTCAGGGATCAGATCTTTAAGGTTTTCACTTCCAACTTCCAGCTCCAGTTTTCCGAATTCCTCTTCAATATCTTCATCCTCAACATCCAGGTACGGAGCTGATTCTGCAACAGTTAAAGGAGAATTTGTAACACAAGAATAAAGTAACAATATATTACCAAGACACAACACCATGCAGAAACTTAATGACAACCAATTGGCATTTCCCACTAATTACAACGATGTAAAGAAGGATGGTTTATAAATATCTAAATACCTAGGGCCTTTTCAACTTGCTTTTGCGAATCAATGCTCTCATCAAGCTCTTCTAAACAGAGTTGAACTTCTTCCACACTGATCTTATTTTCCTTTATTGCTCGCGCTCCAATCTGGATTGCTTCAGTCACCTGCCCTCAAAGAATAATGAATCAGCTTATTAACTACCGTTGGGCAGCAGAAATTTTGTAAGCAAACTTTCTTGAGAGCTTAAACAAGTCATTAAGCTCACTTTCATTGGCAAGTTTTACCATCCTGGCATGGTTTTGGAAGCATAAAGGAATAAGCAGCTCAAATATGTTATGTTTATAGCATAAAAGGGAAATTTTAAGTTAGACTTGCTGACTTTTTTTGTTGATTCAGCATTTGCAATAACACTCAAGACTTCCTCCACTCTGTTCAGAAGTGAGGTGCATTTTTCTCTATTCACAGTAGCCAACTTCATCTCCCTTGCTTGCCTCAGGGCCAATTTCTTGTTCCCAGACTTCAAAGAAGTTAATGCTGATTGTCTTGACCTGCTAAGAATAAACTCAACCTTGAGACTAGTATAACTTGACTTTAGAGTTTAGACACACTCTGTGCATAATAGAAATCAACCACCTATAAGAGAATAGATGCAAATGTGGTTTTAAAATCAATACTGTCTATGCTATGCATATTGCCAGCTGATTGTTTCTGAATTGTTTGTGGTTGAAAAGAAATTTAACCACATTTTCCAACCAGATGGCATAGTGCAGCTCGCTAGTGTCCTAAATGGTTTAATCAAAGATTACCCACGAAGACACATTTCATATCTCTACAGAGCAACCGTTTGATGCTAGACAAAGTTCATGGGAATGTGAACTCCTTATCAATGTTTTTACGCCACCATAAATCTACTCATATGTCTCAATCATAATTCCACATATTTGTAGGCGTGGACTCTCAAGTAAGAAAAGTTCAACATATGAGAAAAGTAATAGACATAAAAAAATTACATTTCCCAACGTCGATCAATTACATCAAGTTGCTGCTGAAGTTTTTCTTGAGTCCAAATCAGGTGGAGAGTGTCAAAATCTAAACTTGAGACACTGGAAACAGCTGCTGATGAAAGGGAAACTTTTATGCCCTGCAGTAAATCTAATTACTCATAAGAACCGAAATTAGCAAAGACGTAAAACTGATGCCGGTTTATAGAGACAACAAGAAATACACCTCAATTAATTCCTTCTTCTTGGTTGAGAGATACTGTCCTTTCCCGCACCCCGAAAAATAACTCAACACTGCATAAGATTCCTCTGGTCCTCCGCACATGCTCTCAAATTTTTTCCTCGTAACAATGCAATTCGAAGTCCAGTGACTTTCAGACAAACCCTTAACTACCTCATCAGCTTTCTCCTAAGAACAATCAAATTAAAACAACTTAATATTCCGACATTACCAGATAATCGAAAATAGTACCTGTCACAAACATCTTGCATTACAAAAACCTTCAATAATGTTGTAACAACGACATGATCTTCAAGAAGAATACTTTCTGCAGTCATTGTTGATCTGTTCAACAAACCTTTCACTTTCCAAAATAACTGAGATATTCTCCCGCTAAAAGGATCCGCCAAGTCCGAATTTCGGATTATTTCACCTTCATTACACATTATAAACTGAAATTTTGACAAAAAAATTAAACCCAAAAATTCCACAAACAAAAATCTATTTTTAAAAAGAAAAAACAAAATTTAGCTCACCAGTACGTGACCAATGCACAAAGGAGTCAAGCCTCCTCGAGAAAACCACTCATTTTTAACCTTCAAGTAAACGAATTAATGAGTAAAATAAAAAGATAAATTGGAAAAGTGAAAAACAAGTAGAAAATTAGAAACCTGGGAAGGTGAAATGATAAAGAGACCAAAGTGGCGGGAGATTTTGACGATCAAATCTTTCCAGAATTGGAATTTGGGTTCCCAATCGGATCTTTGACCGCTAAACGCTTTGAATCGGGCCGTCGCGATCAATTCGTCGTCCCAATCGGCTACGTCTTCCCGTATGAATTCCTTTACAGATTTCAAATCCATTTTTTCCAGCCACTGGAAATCGAATTTCAATTAAACTCCCGCCCAACGCTTCGTTTAACTAGGGTTTTTGTCTTCTCTTTTTTCCTTTTAAAAAAAGTTTCACAATTTCCTCTCAAATTTTCATTAAAATTAAAAAGAAAATATCCAAAAGCGGTTCTGATTGTGAACCGGTACTAAACGAAAGTCCAAGCCCAAATGTAATCTTCTAGGGCCTTTTTTTTTTTTGCCAATACCCATATATCTTTCTGAGAACCATGAGAGCTTTTTTTTTTTTTAAAAGGAAAGATTGACCATCAAAACAAGTCAGCATTTCAGCTTCATTATAGCCATGTCTGCTCCATTTTCTTGTCTCAGCGGTGACCTTCTTCTCCTCCACGTTTCCATCCATATGAATATATGATCCATGGAATGAAAGGAGTACTAAATTCTAGAAACAATCGACGCTTTCAGGCGGTCACCACATCTTATAACAACCAGCCGCATAACACTAGCTAGCAACTGACATCATACCAAGACAATCTTACCTTTTCCCCAACCCCAAACTTAATTAATCAAAGGAAAAGACTGAGGATGGGTTATGTTTGGCGTTGAAAATTGCTTTGGCGGTTGTTCTAGTCTCCAATATTTGTCAAGTGTTTAAGATTGTTGTTTGGAGGCCATATGCCTTGACGAAAAGCTTCAAGAAGCGAGGAGTCACAGGGCCACGGCCATACTCTCTCCTTAGGGGTTCTCTTGATCAGATAAAGAAGTTGAAGAAAATGGTAGAATGTTCACTATCCATGTTTGAGGAGTGGAAATAAAGCTGAGATAGCTGAGGACAACTGTACAAATATAGAGATCAACGAAGAATTTCGAAAGTTAACAGCCGGTATAATTGCACAAACTGCTTTTGGAAGAAGCTATATCCATGGAAAGGAGGCTTTTAAGGCACAAACAGAGCTTCAAAGATGGTGTGCAGCTTCAAATGCCAACATTTTCATCCCTGGCAGCTTCAATCGGTTGGATTGACTACCTTTCCTTACAGCCACAATCCAGGGTGAGGATTCAGGACATTTCAGGCATACTAGAGGCCGTGGTTAATGCTAACTAACACTGTAATCGATTTATTAATTGTTTGCTTAATATGCAACTGTTTAGTGCTAAGAGTACTTTAATAACTGAGAATTTGGCCTACAATTAGGCTTCTCTACAAAAGTTGGTATTGCAGCAATGCAGCCTCATAGACTAATAATCATCGGACTTGGAGCCTAGTTTTTGGCATTGCGATTGAATTATCTTTGATTGCAATCTCTAAATGTGATTGTAAAAATACATAAATAAGATACAAAATTTCAATTGAAAATCTCGATTGTGGTGAATTTGTTTTCAATCTTAATAGTAAAAAATTGAGCCTTGCAATTGCGATTGCAATACCAAACTCAACGTTGGCCTACTTTTGATTTCTCAATTCCCAATTAACATGGTCCTACCCTAATGCTCTCCTGCCTCTCTAATATAATTATTCACCAACTATATATTTTTTTAATTTTTAATCTATCCTTAATTATCGTTATCCACTTAAGCATCATTAAGCAACTAAATCTAATTGAAACTACAACCTAGAAGTTTGATCAACATGTCAACTAGTCCTTTATTAACCAATTGAGATTGAATCAAGATATTAGTATACAAATCAGAGCATACACAATAACAATCATTAGGCATTGATTAACGACAGTATATTCTGAAAGAAGTTGAGAGATCAGATAGAATCCTAACTTTTTTGCTAACGCAACAAACTTAAAAACATGTTCAAACTAACGCCTCTAAAGCCTTTTATGCCTTGTCTATTTTACACTTTGCTATTCCATTGTCTTATATAATCTTTCTAAGAATTCCCTGAACTGGGTTTTTCCTAGCTAACAATCAGATATCCCTAAACTCTATATTCCTTTGCATTATATCATCATTAATTACAAGAATTCCCTGAAGGCCTAGACTTAGTTCTGTCCTATCTAATAATCAATATCTCTAAACTCCTGTGAATTCTAGTACATTAAAAGAAAAGAATCAGAAGCCAACCCTTCACTGCCTGGAAGATGTCTTGGACGCCGGATCCTGATCAACGGAAAATATGGTCTCAATCTCGGTGTCATCCACAGTCTTCTTAGGCTCAGTTTTGTCGACAGAGAAAGAACCCTTACGTTTCCTTGGGGCTGGAGGGCAGGACAAGGGTTCGGGAATCCGATGCTCTTTAGCAGTTGGAGTCCTACACGTTTCACTGTCACCAACTGCTTCAGCTGTTTCGTTTTTGCACTCCTTATCTTCTACATTAACCGTTAGCTTGGCTATTTTGTCAGAAAGAACTTTTTGCACGTCTTCTTTGGTGCAAACGGTTACCATTTTTTCTTTTTTTTTCGTCTTTTCAGGGTTTATGGAAGACGGGGATTTTATTGGTATCAGTGTGGGTTGGGAAATAGTCAGAGAAACAAAGAGGAATATTAGGGCATAAAAAAAATAAAAACGAAAGAGGAGGAGAATGAGTCAAGAGTGGGGTCGGCGGTTTCGTTGAGTTTGACTTCTCTTTGTTTTCAATTCAATTTACAAGTTGGCGGACGTTTTATGCGGCGTTTGCCGGCAGACCTTTTTTTTTTTTTTAATTTGGGATTATTAATTACTATTCTTTTTTTTTTTTCATTTATTGAGTCTAGGCCTAGTAGAGTTAAAACTGATCTAAATAACTAATTATCAATTGTTTGGCATTTAGTTTGGATAGATATTGGAAAGAACGAGAGTTTGTATAGAATTTGTGAAACTAGTCAAAATTTTTATTACATTATTTAAAATAAATTTGAAATAAAAAAATCAAATATTAAATATTTTACTTTAAATGTGTTTAACTTTTATCATAAAAATCAATAGCGGTTTCTCGGTGTAGCTAGAGGAGGCTTTGGTTTCTCCAAAGTGTCTATATATATAAATATATATATATATATATAATATAGTAGCGTAAAAATCTAAAAATCCTACTTTGCACTGGATCAATTTATTTAGTATAGTAATAATTAATTAGAATAATATAATATTAAATAAAAAATAATGATATAATTAGCACTTGAAATTTAAATACATTATTTTTATAATTTGTATTTATTTTTTCATTGTCTATTTATTTTGTATGTTGATATTTGTTGATTTTATTTAATAAAAATAAAATATTTTAAATTATCTCTAATAGAATTTTCTAAAATCTCTTAACTAAAGAATTTTTATTTTTAAAAAAGTTGTCATTTGCATTTTTTTTAATTATTTCATGTCATTTGTATGATTGTCTTTTTAATTTTTTTTTGTATATTTCATCTTATTTAATATTTTTTATTTTTACTATTTCTATATTTTTCTTTATTAATATTTTTAAATTGCCTAATGTGTTGGAACAATTCTCAGGTCTCTTCCAATTGTATTATTTCTCATTTTAATTCCATTTTAAAAATGACCCAACAAATTTTTAAAAAATTTTATTATTAAGAAATTTTCAACAATAATTTTATTATGGTTTTTTTTTGTTAATTTCCACTTTTATTTAGTAAATCCAACAAAATTTTAATTTAAATTATAAGGTCCAATGAAACATAGTAAATAATAATCAAATAAAAAATTATACATTTAAAATGATCTAACTCTCTTAAAAAAAATTGAGCATTGATCAATTGGGAAAAATAAAAAAATTTTACTTGGATATGAATTTTTTTTCTACCCACATTTCAAGACAAATTATTTTTTGGCTTGACTTAAATTTATAAGCCAAAACCCAAATTTAATCGAGAATGTCATTTTATTATTTAATATTTAATATTAAATAATATTTAAAAATTTTCAAATCTAAGTTCTTTATTTTTTTTTCTTGTTGGTTTTTAGTGTTTATTAGTTGATGGTGTTGATGGGTTTGTTACTTGTGGTGAGAAAATTTTTTTATTGTTTTTAAATATAAAAATCCAAAATTTTCAGATCTAAGAACTTTTGTGAGATTTTTCTTTCATTGTTAATTTTGTTTATTGATTTTGTTGCTAGTGGTTTATATTGTTTAAATTTTTTAAAATTAATCTTTTGAATTAAAAAAATTCAGATTTTATCTTTAATTTTCTATGTTACTTTTCTTATTTTATGAGGCATATTTCTTATGAAAAATTTTTTAAATTTTTTTAGAAATTTGAAATATGAAATTTGTGGCAGTAAAAAAGTTCAAAAAAACTTTTTACTGCTTCTTAGACAATGAAAACGCTACTTATTAAAAAAAAAAAAAAGTCTTTGCATTTGTTTTTATTGATGTTATTGAATTTTTTATTTTTATTTTTAAAAGTAATTTTTTTTATCAAAATATTTTTTAAATTTAATCTGTTTTTTGTTTTTGTTTGTTTTTCATGTAAGTTTTTAAATTTTTTATATAAATTTTAATTTAAAAATATTCAATTTACAAGCATTAATCACCATACTACCAATATTATTCTAAAACCTTCATGAATTCAATGTAATAACTATGCTAATTAACGAGTAAAATAGTAAATTTAAAATATTAAGAGTTTTCAAGCAATTAATCTCTTAGGGATACTTTTAATATATAGTTATAGATTATAGATTATAAATTTACACGAAAAAATAAAAAAAGAAAGACACTCCTCATAGCTTATGTAGACAACAATAAATCCTCCTAAACAAAAGCCCAGCCCAAAAACAACCCCAAATTTTTATATTTCAAAGCCCATCAAATTAAGAAAAATGACATTGTCCAATATATAAGACTTCGGGATTCTTTTAATATTAAGTGTGCGTGTGTGTATATATGTACATATATATATATATATATAAGTCAACCCCAAATTAAAATTGTCAATTTATATCTTGTGATTTTAAATTTAAATTTTATGCATTATTATAACTTAAAAATAGCTAAAATTACATTGTTATATGTTTATTTATTCTATCTATAAATCATTATTTATAATTTTTTAAAATCAGTAAAAGATTTGTATTAAATTTTTTGAAAGGAGTCTTCGGTGATTTTTTAAAATTTTTTCGACCACTCTTGAGAGGCGTCAACGATGTATTGGCATCAATGACGACACTGGTGGTGGCTACGGCAGGAGTTGCTGGAACCTAGATTTCTTTTAGAAAAAGAGCATATGAGTAATAGATAAGTTAGAGAAAAACAGAGAAGGAAGAAAATGAAATAAAAAAATTAGGCATTTTGTAGTGCTGCAAAAAAAAAAAGTTACAAAATGATGTCGTTTAAGACAGAGGGAATCCACGTGTGGACCCAAATTTGACTCAAAGTTCACACACCCGACTCGATTGTTGTTGACTTTGATTTGATTCACTTGAATCGGTGCTAGACTACTGAATCGCCAGACGAATTCGTCTTAAACCATTTTAGATTGAGAATGGACCATCAATGTTGACTCGCCTTTGACTAGTGAAAAATTGGTTTTTTTTTTTAATTACTCCATTTGTTTTATTTTATATTATTTTTAGTATTTAGGATATTTAAAAATAAATATAATAATGATAAAAAAATAAAAACACTAATAATAAATATATAATTTAAAATAATGAATGAATAAAAAACGAATAATGAAAAATAAATTAAATATGGATAAAAAATAAAATCACAAGTGGTGATTTTATTAAAAATATTTACACAAAATAATTTTCTAAAATATTCTAAAAGTATTAGAAATATTTTAGAATCTTAAAAGCAAAAAAAATATTAATAATAAAAAATAAAAAATTATTAATAAAAATGAAATCATAATTGGTGATTTTTTTATATACAAAGAAAATTTCTAAAATATTTTAAAAGTGTTGAAAATATTTTAGAATTTTTTATAAAATAATAACAATAATATTTATTTCAAGTAAATAGCAAGAATTAAATAAATAGAAAATTTAATAATAATTATAATTATAATTATAATTATAATTATAATTATTATTATTATAACAAAAACAAAATCACAAGTGGTGATTCTAAAAAAGATATTTTTTTCAAAACTTTGCCTAAAGTGTTAATAAAATTTTTGAAAATCTTTTTAGTAAAAAGTAATAAAATATAAAATACTAAATTTGTCAAAATAAATAAAATTTTACGTGAATAAAAGTCACGAGTGATGACTTTATCAAAATTTTTTAAACAAAAGATTTTCTCAAAATAGTCCAAAAGTATAGAAAATATTTTGAGAGTTTAACCAATAAATTTTTTTCATTAATAAAACAAACAACAAATAAACATTCCTAAATAAATTAAAATTTTCGTTGATAATAAAATTGAGGAGGAATCACAAGTAGCGATTTTTCTTTAAAATTTTTTTTCATACCATAAGTTTCGATATAAGGAAATTATAATCTACTTTCAAAAAATTAAAATAAATCCGACGACAGAGTCTTTTCAATAAAATAAGTGATTTCTTGAATACTCATGAGGTGAGAGAATTTATTAAGTTATATAAAAAATGTGGGAAATAACTTAAAAAATTTCAATATTTGAATAATAATAAACAATAATAAAAAATAAGTAAAAAACTATTCAACAAGACTATTCTAGGATTGTCTTAACGTATAAATCAATAAATTTATAGTTAGATTTAACAAGATGAGTCGTCACCAATCTTTTTTAATTAGGTATGATTAGTCATCTAATAAATCTATCTTTTTAAAAAACTTTTGAGGTTGACTAAAGATTCCTAAAAGAATAGATTATAGTCACTAATCAGAACAGAGCTTGAAAATTTGATTACATATGGAGAAGGTTATAGTACTCTCACATATCCATTCAAATGATGGCACTATTTTATTTTAAATTATCCTTAGGTCTTAATGCTAATAGTCTTAATTTTAATGTTTAAATATTGAAAATAACTTTTAAAATTCTCTATCAATCTGATCGAACTTTTAAAAATACTTTATCACCTCAAGAGTTTTCAAGAATCTTATTTGTTTTCTTGAAGAAGCTCAATTGTTGAAAAATTTTAATCATTATTTTTTTCATTTTGATTTTTTATTGTAAATATATCTAATTATTTCACCATTTGGGCCAAATTAAAAATATCTTCTCACCTAAAAATTTCTTAGATAATCATCAATTTGTGATTACTAAAAATTTCATCATTAGAATTTATTTTTTATTTTATAAGTTTTATTTTTAAATTTTTTATTATTTGGGCCAATTTAGAAAAATTTTTAAAGTTTTATTTCTAAATTTTTTATTATTTGGGCCAATTTAGAAAAATTTTTAAAGTTTTATTTCTAAATTTTTCATCATTTGGGTCTATCTAAAAAAATATATATTTTTTTTGTCTTTTATCTTTGAAAATAAAATAATATGATAATTATTTTTTTGAATTTTTATTTAAATTCTTCCAACATTTGGGATAAATTTTTTAAAAAATTGATCTAGAGAATTCTTAAAAAATTTGCCATTGAAATTTTTAAGATTCTCATCCTTTGATAATTAGCAAATATTTTCAACCAAACTTTTTTTATTTAAAAGAAAATACAATTACTTTTTATTAAAATTTCATTTAAATTATTTCATCATTTCGGACAAATTTAAAGAAAATTTTCACCTGGAGATTTTATATAAATTTACAATTTGAAATTT